AATCAAGCTTTTGAAAATCGATTTTGTCTCCTTGGCAATTCCTTGGCAAATAATATTGGCCCGATGCTTGGCTACCGATCATTGGCAGTAGCGTGATCATCCCAAGTTTAAACCATTGGTGGTTCAATGATGGTTGCCATTAATGTTCCAATAATGGAACGGAGTTCGCCAAGCATGGCCCATTATTGAACCAATCGTTTACTTCCCATTGGGGAAGGATTAATATGAAGCAATTGTAGTGGTGAGGTGGTATGGCTTTAATAAGAATATAGAATTTTGTGAAATATGTTTGCTTAACGGAAGAGCTTTGCCGTCAATTTACATCCATATATATGTATATTGCAGGGTATGAAGGAGTTGAAAAGGAGTAGAGTCCCCGACGTCTTTCAGAGAAATTCAATACCGCCATGAACCAGGAGAAATTTAGAAATAAAATCTCTTTCTATACCCGGGAGAAGTAATTTTTATTGGAGAGTAAAATTCTCTTATAAATCCGTCTCGCGTTATCCTCTGAAAACAAAAATATTCTCTTTCAAAAATACAAGTTTTTACTATTATTTTAAGATCGAAAATATGTATTGTATACTCGATTATAAACAATCCCAACAAGTCGACTAAATTTGATAATTTTACAATTAAGTTAACGATTCTGAATGATATTATACAAGTTACAAAGCAGGTTTATTGTGAAAGAATCAGAATTTCATCTTTATACTTTTTCAAGTGTAGGACAGTAAAGTGTGTAGGATTGCTTAGGCAGATAATATGCACGATGCGACGCCTCACATCACAATTTGCTGGAGCGCAACGTCCGGTCTTTCTTAAGGTGTCGGGCACTTATTTCTTTAATGATAGAGTCATTGATTTTTGATTTGTAGTCTGTGGACATAACATGTTAGTCTATACGAGTGGAAATAGTAGATTCTGCAACTGTAGTGGTTAAAATAAAAAGCGTGGCGAAAGTACAACTTTTCTCAACTCCTCTGAAAAGAGTGGCCAAAGTAAATTTAGTGTGGCGAAAATAAATATTGACATAATGGTAACGTCATATGATTTACTTTCGCCACGTCAAAATTAGTTTCAATAATAAATAATTAAATGAATTTTTAAACTCACAAGAAAAGTAAAGAAACGACTTTTAAGGAGATCACATTTCTGTAAAATGCATAAATTAAAAGTAGATTGTAACTAAGCCATTTTTTATTTTTAAGTAGGCAAAATGTGGGTGACTGGTTAGGAAACTTGAATTATGGTTTATCAATCGTTGTTGAAATAAAGATTGGAATGTCACTAACACTACAAAATTGCAAGGTGTCTTTTTACCATTAGTCGCGCCTTGACATCTAATAAACTAGTTGCATATATAAAATTCTTTATCAAACCATTATAGTTCGTACAAATTAATTCAGACATAAAAAATTTATATTTCCAACTTGAGGGAAAAAACAACAAGCTCTTTATAAAAAATAGTAGAATGTAAAAATGATCGTGCTAGAAATTTTCGATTTTATAATTATTTAAATTTCATTGATAATTTCAGAGAATATATTAGTTTTGTATCCATATGTTGGCAAAGTACATGTTCCTTCCCACGAGAGTCGTGCCAGTTTGAAATTTGCCCAATGCCCACGTGCTCATCGCCATATCGCAAGATTTACGCCTAACCGTTTGCGAGTGCAAGGATCTTTCAAAAGTCCTACACACATGCGAACATTTTTTTTCCTTTCACAAAAATTTTTCCCACTCTCCTATACATATATATCAAGTATTCTGGAAAATTTATTAATTAATTTATTTTCTGTAAAGTAACTTTTCCTAAAGTGCTTTTTACCACAACGTGATTTATAAAAAAATTGTACTATCGTAAGCTAAAGTAAGGTGCAGAAGAGGTGGGAAGTTTTGTTTTGAAGATATCGAGGGACATTATAGCAGGTTGATTATATTTGGGATGGGTTCGAAGGGAAGCTGAAAGAGGAAGAGAAGATGCAGTTGTAGTCAGAAACATTTAATCAAGTTATGCCTCATCATCGCTAATAATAAGTTCATTTATAAATTTCCTTCGAATTAAAGAAGACTTGAAAATCGATTTTTTTGAAATCTAGCAAAGTGTAAACTAAAAGAAATATTTTATAATATAATAATTTTAAAAAATGTTCAATAATAACGTAACATAAAGATGTACTATTAAAAAATTTTGTTTAAATTATTATTACTAACATTATAAAAAAATGTCAATCGGGAGCGTTAAAATTCGATAGGGTTTTAAAAAGGGAAAGTTGAAATTTTGTTTTTTCTAGCTAAGAACGAAATTGCTATTCTTTTTCAGACGATTTCACAAGTATTTTATAAAATAGTAGTTTTATATCTCCCATCATTAGAATATTTTCTTTATCCATACGGAAGTTGTGGTTGACCACATCTTCACAGCTCAAACATTTCACTTCTCAAAAGATATAATGTTTACCAATAAATTCAATAGAAAATCACTTGAACTAGTTTGGTGTCAGAAAGAACTCGACAGCACTATTTTTTATTGATTTTCTATTTTCAGTTATAATAATTTAATTTTGTTGAAACAAACCAAAAGTGTAGAATTTTGTGATATTTTGACTTTAACTCAATGGCATTTTGACATTTACTCATATCAAGATTTTACAAGTCGTGTTTTACTATTTGAAAGTATTTTGTAATAGTTACATGTATGTAGACTATAATCGAATAAAGTGGTTCTAGTTCTCGCTCTAATTAATGAAATGTTAGAATTGGAAATTGATCTGTAGAACAATAATTTCTTTACAAAATTCATTGAGACCTAATGGATAGAAAACTGAAAGGAATACTATTTTAATAGTATAGTAATAAATATTAAGAATTACATGTTTTCTCATATTTTTCACCCTAACTTCTATTTCATGTTCTCCCTTTAGAAAATTTCTAATTTAAAAGTACACAAAGTATGCACTATTTTTTTATCATTTTAATACGCAGTCAAAACACGTCACGCAATATGAGGAAGTGATTCGCGACAGCCGTTGAAGTAAAATAGACAGTTTAATTTGAATTGGCGAAAAGAAGCGTGTCAGTCAGTAAATGTAATTATTTGACAAGTTGCACGCGATCAAATTGGGACAACGAAAGCTGTCTTTTGTTTCCGTGGGAGGAACATTTTATAAAACATTTTGTAAAAGAATTTTCGTTTATTAAAATTTCACTTTTTCTTAGTAAATTTCTTTAGAAAACTTATCTTTAAAATCTTTAATATTATTGACAAACCGTATGTTTATAAATTTAAAATAAATTTAAAATTTACTTAATGTTATTTAATATTCAAAATTTACTGACTATGGACTCATAAACTTGGAATAATTTGATGAAAAAGAAACTTTTCCGAAGAATATAATTCAGTTTATTCTTGAATGATTATAAGGCACGGTAAGTGCATTGTCCTGAGACTCAACATAGTGGATGCGGTGACCCTTTATTCATTTCTCATTTTCTCCCAGCTGTACATTGGCCAACACTAACGTTATCTCAGAAAGTCCCTGCTGTAAGAATTAGAATTGAGTATTTTCTTCCTGCCCACGAGAATAGATGTCGTTGTGAAAGAAGCTGAATTTTTGGTTTTCATTTTCTAAATTTGTATTTCGATCATCAGTCATTATAAGCTTCTTTAATTTACAACGGTTAATTTAACACTTTAGTATTATTTATAAAAATATTTTTTAGCTTTTAATTTTAATGATGAAAACTCATCAGAGTCATCATAGTGTAAAAAGAGATTTAAAATCTTTAAAAATTACAGTTCATTCATCTTTCTGTATTTATTTAAAAAAAATAGAGGAGAATAAACGTAACTCCTGACTTGCATTGCCATTAGGCATTATTCGTTTTGATAAAACATAATTGTAAAAAGAATTTATGTAACAAAAAAGTGGAAGCAGTCAAGTGCAGAAAAATATTTGACGTTTTCACAATATTTTGGTACTTCTTGATTTTCTGGTTATTATAGTGTTCACCGTTATTATCAAAAGTTTGTTGTGCTTGAGCGTATCCAAGAGCACCGCCTCCAGTGCACCATAAAAATATTGTGTAGGAGGAACAATTTATTACAATGCGCACCTAGAGACGCTGACGAGATTTTCGGCGGCGGGTGGTCTCTCTTGAATCTCAAAGGAGAGAAGAGAGAGAGAGAGAAAGTGTTCGAGTCCTAAGTCGACACTTTAGTCGTGAATAAATAATTAGGCAAATAAGATTTAAATTCAGCATTACCTAAACTTTAAATCTAAATTTCCCTCCCTTTACCATCATCAACTATCATGGAATACACAAAAAATAATTATCTACAATTCTAATTAATTGCGATTGAAAGGAAAATTATACACAATATAAAAGCTACAATGCAGATTTTAAAATTGAAGCCCATCTGCAATGTAAAATCAAATTGAATGAATGTTGCAATTTACAAAGAGTGATACAATAAATATTAATATACTTTCCAAATTGAAAATTAAACTTCTGTTTATATTCTGATCATCAAATGCGATGCACTCGCCATACGAATACAGATAAATTTTCAACTCTTTTGTATTCAATAGAAATTTTAAAAAATCCGAGACCTTCTCATTTTTTTTATGAGAATGTAAAATGTTTTCTTTAAAATTTTTATAGTTTCAACCTTTTTTATTTTCATGTTTAATTAAAATAAAACATTTGCTTTCTCTGAAAATTATACTTTGACGGAAAATGACGGCGTTAATTCTACTTTACGTTCCATGATAAAGAGTTTTAAGGTGTCCTTCAGTATGTTCCAACCCTTCATTGAGAGTTATTCAAAAAAGGATCAAAGAACAGCTTAAACGACTTGAAGGGTAAAAATGTTGTGGCGGAGAAAATGCAGAAGGAAAGTGATGTTTAAATTTCACATATTCAGTATATGAAGATTAAAATATCTTATAATTTCTAAATAGTTGAAAACTTTTATTTAACATGAGTAAATTTAATTAATCTATATAAAATCATACTAAGGAATTTACAGTTAAATGTAAGTACTTTGCTTTTTACCTGATTTTTTCAAAATTTTCGCCCTGGCGTATCAAAGAAGAGAACATGACCCATTTGAATTACATTGATTATGTTTAATTATATTTTTATTTAAAATATTTCTATACGCGATGCTTTCTTCATTTCACGCGGCTCAGTTTTTGAAAACAAAACTCTCAAGTTTGGATAAATTATTGTGATTTTCAAGATTCGGTTATTAAGTCGCTTGGTTTGGCAGTGGAATCGTTCCCATGGTATAGCTTCGACCTTATTTGGAAATGAATTCGGACCATCGATTCGGATAAAAACATCGGTTAGGACGGCAAGAAAGGGCATCGCATTCTTTTATCAAAATGCGATTTGAACAGTTTCAATTTATACCGCATCTTAAATTCAAAGAAACGAAAAAATTCTCTAATAATTTTTTTTACTAATGAATAGAAATTTTTGTTCATTTAATTATAGTACACAGTTTGAGTATAACAACAATATAAATGAAAAATTAATTGTTTCATAATTTTTGGGCGATTAGAGTAACAATCTCGTAGTGAATATTCCAAGTTTGCGGTTTTCGAAACATAATAAGAATTCAACCATAATCTTTATCGATCTTCGTGGATCAAACCTCGGAAGATTGTGCGCAACTGACTTTGCTTCCCTGCATCTCATTAAATTCAATCCGAATAATTGGCTTTCCACAATTTCGCTTAATAGCATTCAAGAATTTTGTAACATCAACATTGTTGGAAAGAAATCTGTAAAAATCGGATTGTAATTCAGATAGTGTCGAAAGATATTAATATTAATAAGTCAACGTTGTAATACGTTTTGTCTTTTGTCGCGCATTGCAAGTTGCGTGAGTTTTTTGCACTTTCAGTGAAACAGCGTCCTAACCTACCACACGTGAAATGTACACTGCAAAAAAACTCACATGTAGCGTTCCAACATGTATGCAGCTTTAGAGAGACGCCTCTTGAAGTGAAGCTCTGAAGAGACGAACTTTATACAAAGCTCAATAGAAATATCGATTCTGAGGGTCGTCGTACTCACATCTCTATTCCTAGAAATGAGAAATTTCCACTTTTTTAGACACCCATCATCTGATTTTTTTAAACATTAACAGGGTTGCCACAAAATTTTAATTTTGTTTCTCCCTGACTTTTCCCTGATTTTCAGAGAGAATTTTGACATCTTCCCAGACCCTAAACAATATTCTGATTATTATTTTTCCTTGGGAAGTAAGATTTTCAAAAATATCAAATTTTTAACTACAATTTTTCTTTAAATTAATTATTAGTTAAAAGTACGACAAATTAAAATTTTCGAAGATTTTAATCTGAAACCTTTTCAAAAATCAATTATTTCTAAAAGTTAATGCTTTTAATATTAAAATTATTATCCAAAATTTTAACCGAAATTCATTTTGAAATAAATTTTTGTAAGAAAATTCTACACTCTAAATCTGAATCAGTGAAAATTTCACTGATTTCAATTCAGTGGCCCAGTTTTCTTTGATGAATCAGTGGAATTTCACTGAGAATCAGTAAAAACCACTGATTATCAGTGAAATCCCACTGATGAATTAAAGAAAACTGAGCCACTGAATTGAAATCAGTGAAATTTTCACTGATTCAGATTTAGAGTGTACGAGAATTCAATTTTTATTTTTTAAGAATTTTATTACTTTTGAAAATAATTGAATTATTGTGATGAATATTGTTATTTATGAAAATAATTGAATGTTGCAAAGATTTGTGGCAACCCTGTATTAAAGCATATAACTAATTTATTAGAGATTCTGATCTAGATATCAATTATGCAATCGGCGATTAATTTTCATTTTCAATTCCACTTTTTTTCCTAACAAACAATTTTTATAAGTTCTGAATTGGAAAAGTAAGAAAATAGATGAACGATACTTTTTTGAAAATAAGTTTTAAATGATTTGTTAACCGGATGTATGGTAGTTATGGGGATCCCAACATGAGATATATATATATATATATATATTTAGAAGCTGTAATACACTTGAAGGCACAGTTTAAGCTCTGTTTATGTACGATCATATTTTTGGTATCCGCTTCGTGAGTTTCATTTCCCTTTTACTTCCGTTCAATATGATAAATGTATCGAAATTTTAAAAGATTCATTATTACTTTGCTAATAGTTAGAAATTTTTTCTTAATGGAAGGATTCTGTTGGAGGAATCTTGGAGATTTGCAATGAGAAGGGTGCAAAATCGTGAGCACACATCTGCTATGTCGTCTGTTCTCAAAATAGTTGTTGGGGGCGTTTAGTGCGAGAAAGAGAAAGAAGTGAGAGACAAAGATTATTTTCTGAATAAATCACGAACACCAATTCATACAATTTAACTTGATTCTTTTAGAGGTGGATTACTCGAGTCTAGAAATTTTATATAATATAACAACTATTTTCAAACTTCTTGTCTATATATGAGGCGCCTAAGATCGTGCTAATTTTCAAATGACGCACAATTTTCATTTATATTTCCAGAGCGATAGAAATTTCCTGTTTAGAGGACTTGTTTGAATTGAAAATTGTTTAGATTGGAAATTAAACTTAAAGCAATTATTTTTTTATCTACAATTTTTTGTGAAAATTAAAATAAACGAATGATGCTATTTTAAATTTTCTTCAAGTAATTAACAAGCATTAATAAGTTATACAGTAATATCGGGGGGAAATTTATTGCTATCAGTAGGGATTGACTATTTTACGGACTTTGTCCAGACGGCGCCTTGATGCTTGCGAAAAAGAAGACCAAAACTAAGAGCCAACGATAGGATATATTTAAATACGAATGCGAGCAAGTTTTAATAATTTAAAATAAATATTTCTTGCAAAAGTCTTCGCGACACTTTTACTTATATTGTTTTAGGTTTGCTTTTCTCTCTTTCTGAAAAAGGCCAACAAAGAAAGAAGGCTCAATTATTGAGAATTGAGGAAGTTATGTAATATTTGGATAATTTTTTAAACAAAAGTCTTTGTTATCTTAATTGATAGTAATATAGGGATATAACCTTTAGCATGAGTCAGTGATTTGCAATTTTTTATATATATATTTTTTTTGCAGTATTACGATAAGATAATTTTACTACCGACATTAAAACGAGTCATCTCTGTTGAATATTATAATTAATTTTCAAAGATTATAACAATTTAATTTTAGAGTGTAAATATTTTATTTACAGTGTAACCTAAATATTTATGCAAATATTATTTAAAAATACAGAAACTTTACTGATCTCTTTTTCTTTAGCATTTTTTTTCTCTTTTTTATTATAAGGCATATTTCCTTTTTAAGTTGCGTGGGTAAGTTTATTGAGTTGAATGTCTCAATGAACCGATTAACTGTATCTGAATCGTGATGAAAGTAGTAGTATTAGCAATAGTAGTCATAGCTATAATAAAAGATTTTTTGAAATTTTTCAACTTAAAATAATAAATGCAAACTTTTGAAAATAAATTTCAGAAAATAAATATTTTGTAAAATGAATTAAAATTTGTTCCGAAACATGTGCTAGAAAAATTATTTGTTGATTATATTCTTCATCAAAAAGTATAAAAACCCAATTATTTTTTCTTGATGGTGTGTCTATTAGAAGTAAATTGATTCGTTTTGGACCAGAACGCTTTAAAATAGATTAATAGAGATGAAAATGTGGGTTGCTTAAAATTTTTACAACAAGTATATTGTATAAAAACATTTTTCATTGAGTACCATTGAATCGAAAATTGTCTTCTTAATCTGTTTTCCAAGAAACGAATCATGAAAAAAGTTTTTGAATCATCGTGACTCATGACTTCCGACAAGAATTCTTTGTTTAAGGAAATGCTTTTGGATTTTGTTATAAATTCATTATATGTTATATATTTACATTAATTTATGGAAACCCTTAATTTTGTTATTTATTTAAATGGAAATTGATGTTTTCTGGTATACATTAAACATTTAATGTATTTACGAAACGTATTTTTTTAAAACTTGTGTCAGCACACTTGTATCAATAGTCATCATTGGAGGAAAGCTTAACATTAATATTTATCATTCTCTCAATATTTACGTGGAAAATAATGCTCTTTCCGGACATCGATTATGCACCTCATTCAGATCGACTCTATTAGAAATGTTAATTTTATTCGAAACGAGCATGGGACGTTTGTCATGTGGGAAAAATAATTTTTTTATCTTGGAGAATATTTTTGATTGTTTTGTCGTCAAATAGTCAAATAATATTTCTTCTTCTTGTTAATAAATATGGTATTAAAAATATTTTTGAATGATGAATATTTTACTGAATTTAGAAATATACTTGTCACCTTGAAAAGCTATCCCGATCGTTAAGTTTTTTGCTTGAAATAATATCAAATATACCTACGCCTGATTGGAAAGTGTTTGAGTTGAACGTGGTGGCACTCGAGCAGAAACTGCTTCCATCTTCTTGACTTGTATCCTAGAGACGTTAACTCCTCTCTTTCTCTCTCCCTTCGCTATCCGTTTCTGTTCTGTCTCTCTAATTACCACGTACGAAGTAATTTTACGCTCTATCTTGGAATGCAATGCCATGTAAGTTGCTTTGCGCACCATTCAAATCCAGCTCTCTTTTAGTCTTTTGCATTTCATACTTTTCGAAACAACAATATTTAATATTTTTAGTTTTTTACTTGCTCTTTTTCTAAAAGTTATTTAATAAAAGTTGAGTCATGTTTCTATATTCATTTTCTAGAATATTTTACGATACATTGTAAATGTATGTTTATTACAGTCTATAAAGGAAAAATATTCGAAATTGTGATATTCGAAATTCTATTGTTTAAGATTTTTTCGATGTTAATTTAATTTTTTAGAGGATGATAAATTTTATAACCCAATTCACTCGGATTTTTCTCTGTATAGTTTTATTCGTGGCCAAAGCGTAAAATCACTTGGACGTGCCTGGAGAACCAGGAAGAAGAATGAAGATCATAAACTTCACGGCATATAAGACAATGGCCTCTATCTGACAAAATTCAAAAAGAAAATTTCCCCCTACTTTATTCACGTATTTTAGAATAAGAGAAATCTGCGCACCTTTCGACTGATATTTTTTCGCAATGTTAGATGTAAACCAAAATTCCGTGTGAGTCTGGACGGTACAGATTGGTTTGCGCACAACGAACCAATTTATGCAGCATGAAAATTGGCAGCTACGGTAAAATATAAAATTGATGTTTCGGAACTAATAAAATTGCAAAACATATTTTTGACAAGTGTCTTAAAACTTAAAAGTAGATTTTTTTTAAATAAACCCTTAAAGTCTGATCTTTCGAAATTAGTTCATTTTTATGGCAAGTGTTTCGCCAATTCGTACGCATATACATATATGGACAATAATAAAGATTTTGATTTTTTAATTTAAATTTATATCTGGATGATTAATGTGTCAGTAGGATGTTGCAGTCTGTTTTTCTCGCTCATCTCTCCTTGACTCCTCTCTCGCAACCAGTTTTTTATTCCATATTTGAGAGTTTCTTTTGTAAGCATGCTTGCGGGAATTCCTTCCACTGAATATTATATATACTTTTGTTACTATACAGTTTTCGGGTATACAGCATAACAAACAAGTATATTTGCATTATAATTTAATAAAACAATAATTTTGTAAAATTCTAAAATTTCTCTCTTTACAATTTCAGGTTTAAAAGTGAACTTTTCAAACTGGAATAAAGTTTGAAAATGGAACGGTACGAGGAAGAAGGAGGCGAAGACAGCGACAATGAAACAGATCCAGAACAGCTTCTGAACGAATGGCTGGGAGAGCTGGATAATCTCACAGTGGTGAGTTTATTGTTGTATTTTTAATATCTAAGTTGTAAAAAAACCATTAAAAATGGGTTTTAAGTGTATTGCGGCGATAAATCTTCGTAACAGAAAAAAGATATGGCATGTGCGAAATTTATCTATGGAAAATTGAGTAAATAACTTCTTATATTATATAATATGACAATTATTACCGATAAGTAACCATTTCTTTTATTTCATAATTTGGGCATTCTTCCAAAAAGAAAACGACTAGATTTTTTTTATACAAAATTATCGATTTGTACAAATAGTTTGTGTATGATTTAAACAATTAGTTTTTAAAGACTTTATCTCTTTACAAAATAATCTCTTCTAAATAGATGCCTATTGAACGTAATTGTATCGGAAGAATAATATTCATATTTTCCGCGAATGGAATTAATAATGAAAATCATAATACTTGAATGGATCCCAGAAGTTAGTCCAGTTTCGTTGAAGAGACTGCAAAAGTATTAGCGGAGATACGCTTCGCAATTGGCATCAATTGGCATACAGTGATCTTAATAATTTTCTAGAACAGCAGTTCTAGATTTTAATAAATATAGGCAACTTCTGGAATATCGGCATTCATCAATTTCCACGTATTTAAGTTACATTTCTGGTTTCTTAATCTGGTCTTTTCTACATTACATTTTCAAATTAGATGAAAATTTAACACAGTGAAAGGAAATGACATTTTCATTCATAAACAAAATATTTCTTTAATGACGTGATATTGATGATTCACAGAAAAGCATAATTACTCACAATTCATAAATGTTTAGTTGCCAAGATTCGAATTAAAAGTGGCAGTATCTTTAATACTTAAAATTTTTTAAATGTTTGTAAAATATAAAGAAGATACTTTCCTTAGATAAGTTTTCAAGGGCGAAGTGTAGAAAGTCATTGTGTACGGATACAACCGCATTTTTTACAATTATAACAATCAAAATAACGTTTATCACGTGTTTTTTATTGAGATAAGATTAGCACGTTTCAAAATCGACCGGTGTAGACAATTTTTTTTTAATAACCGATTATTTTTATGACGAATTCTTAATGGTCTTTTCTCGCCAAGTATTTCCTCGTTATTTGTTTTCTGCTTTTTTCATCCAAATTGAATTATTAAAAAAGAAAGTGATAAAGAGGAAAGATGAGATAATTGAAAAATTAATTCATGTCAGAGGTCATTGTACTGTCGATCGTATAGGTTGCACTTGCACTTGGCGCGATACCTAGAGGTCGGTCAAGGCAGTCGATCAATAGACTAGCAACCCGGAACGAATCGTACTTGCATGCTTCATACCTGCGATGGTGACTTCTTCACTTTCAATAAAGCGAATCCAATATTTTTCATCTCTAGCACATTAAAACTAGAATAACCTGTAGATTACACTGTCGTGCCAAGAAAAAAATTCATAACTGAAATTTGATGATTTTATTGTAGCTACTAAAAAAGCTAAGCTCTCATAAACTTACTCAATTTTCTTTCTTGAAAATTGTAATTAAAAAATGAAGAAATATTATCAATAGAAATTAAATATTTTACTCTAATAAGAATTACGAGACGAGTATTTAAAAATATTGCAGAAATTTAAACCTCAAAATTTGAAATAAAAAAAAAATTAATTTTCCTATTGGACAATTCTAGAAATGACATTTTATGGATTTATTGGAAAATTTAAGAAATGTTACATATTTTGTAACTATTGAGTGATGGCCATTTTTTATGAGAGAATAAAGATGTATTTTAAACCATATTTACCCAAGTGAATTTTAATGTCATTTCTTTTTAAAGTCACATTCATAAAAATTATTATTCATTTTTTATTTACATTTTATTAACACAAATAAAATGTTACGTAATGGTAAATAATTTTTGTGACCCTCAAAAAATATGCATGGCCAGCAAATAGGTCACTAGTGCTGAATTGCAGAATTTTTATTGCAGATTTCTAAGAAAATTCACCAGTCTCATGTTTAAAGTAACATTTTGCACTTTTAAATGTTTACACTTTAAAAAATATATTTTTTTAAACACACTTTACGTATTTAAGACTCAATTGAAAGGAGTAATTGATGTTTTATGTTTTATATTTAATTTAAATAATTTTCTTTTGCAAAAGAAAAAATTAAAAAAATATTATTTATAATTTTTTTGAAAAAAAATATCTACCTAATTTTTGATTCCCTTGCGAAATCTAACGGGAATGAGTGAAAGCCTCATCACATTCTGTAATTTTATTATCGACATTGGGACATGTGATGATAGTCGGTACGGCAGGAAATTTTCTGAAATTCAATTCATTCCACACACTACCGCGAATAGCGCCCGCGCCACCAGAGAAATAGGTGGAGAAATTTAATTTGCTAACAATTTGCCCTTTTTAAAAAAATAGAAAAAGGGCAGAAAATCACTTTTTTTACTCTTTTATCAATATAAATATTTTTAGGAACCATTTTCTTTTATTTTACAACTTTGGAATTTGTAAACATTGATTACACCCAATTTTTAGCTCATTAATTTCATGGTCAGATTACATGAAATTATTTATTTAAATTGTACTGAGTTTTTGACTTATATAACTGTTCATAAATAAAATAATAAAGTTTGACATTTAGTGCTTTCTAAATTTGAATTACTAAAAATGTTTACTAATTTAAATTAGTGACTGACTTTTTGCTTTTGAATTCGTAAATACTAAATAGCAAATAGTTTTACTAATAAATTGTAATTTCTACTGATTTATTAGTAAAATTTCACTATTAACTTAAAAGTATCAATTTGCAACGAATTGCTACCGAAAATGTAGATCTAAAAAATTGATCCAAATTATTGGCATCAATTTGATCCACTTTAGTATCAGTTTGATACTTTCAAGAAAAGTATGTGTTACTTTTGAATCAGATTTTGAATTAATAATTCAAATTAGTGAACATTTTTACTAATTCAAATTTAGAGGGTGAAAACATAAAAGTCAATAGTCTGAAACTTTTAAAAAGAAAATTTTATCATTTTTTCGAGAATGTATGCGTAATTCGATTAAAATTTAGTATTTCATGTCAACGAATTCTTGTCTTATTAGTTAGATATATCATGTGAATATAGGGGAACATTCTGCATATCGTAGAATGTTAAATTCTGACCCTTGCATAAGGGAAAGATGAAAGAGCCTGATAAAACAAGGCTTATTTTTATTGGATGCTGATGCCACATAGATAAAGTTGCACAATGTAATACTTTATATGTGCACGCGCAACAGACTCTTATGCTTATCGAAGGGGCAGACACGATGTCACAATGTCACATCTGTTGCTATACCTCTTTAATGAAAAACTAGTTCCATAACTTTTTCGTAAATATCGATATTAGAACTTTATTCTCATTTCTGTATACAAAAATGTCATAAAAATGATTACTTGTTGCATTTATATTTCAACTAAGGAAAAAAGTTACATTATACTTGAAATGGTGATTTTGACATCTCTCCATTTCGTAATTTCGTTCGGAATGATGTTTTTAGTGAAAACCATAAAGCCGAAACTATAAATTTCGAAAAATCGAAACAGGACTTTTATTCTTACTTTTTATGCGTAGTTTACTGGTTTATGCACCAGTATTCTTTTTTATATTCTGAAATTTATAATCGGTTCTTTGGAGAAGACAGGCACAATCTGCAGGTAGATATATATATATATATATATATATATATATATATATATATATATATATATATATATATAAAGAAGAACAGCTGCTCCGAAATGGTAACCAGGGG